ACAACAGCGAGATTCTACAAGCCTCTGTAGATGGTCCAGGTAAGTGCTGGAAACTTCTTGGCCCCTTCCTGTGCCATCTTAAACTAATCTCTGCTACCTAGTGGAACGTCCATGATCAAATAATTAACATATTTTTCCCATCGCCCTTACAGAATAGAGATACCAAAGCTGGTGACAGATTATAAAGTGATAGTGGTGTTATCATGTTACAGCACTTACATCTTAGGAAGGGATTATATTTCGGTTTTGATGCAAGTTGATATGAACTGCATTTTAAACACATAACATGAAGTATTTGCACCACATTTACAGTGTGTAAATAGTATAACATGATCAAGAGCTATACTTTCGTGATGGAAAATGGAGGCAAACATAAAAACTCACAACCAATACGTATTTTAAAGTTTTATGTGGAAATTATGTGGCATTTCAAACCAAATAACTGTCAGTTTAATGTAGTTTCCATGTCTGTCTGACACCTCCTATTGTAATTCAACCATGTAATCATTCCCTTTTTGTTAAGTGTGAATGTGATTTCACACTTCTACCTGGTCAGGTAGTTTTCTTATTATTTAACAGCTAAGTACTTGATAATGATTCCTGCTGTTTGGTGGGACTCTCAAGGGAAGTAAAAATGGTTCTAGGCCAACTATCATAAAAAAAAAGGTAAATTATGTTCAAACAAAACTTCAGATGCAAATGAAAATGTCTTCGTCTAAAATGCACTTAAGAGAAAGCATCATTAAGGTATGAAATGACCAACAAAATACAAGAGAATTAGTCTTACTCCCGTAAACTCCCCCTGCTCATCTCTGCTTAGAAAGGAAGCCTGTAAAATTAAAAAAACAAAACAAAAAGACCTCTCTATTGACATCTTCATGTCTACTTAATCTCTATTCCCAGGACCCAATTCGAGTTATCATTACTTACCCCACCTTGTTTTTTCTCATACAATATAAATAACAATAGCATTTTTATAAATAGGTAAAGTGGGTGGGAAGGCAAATAAGTAAGTGCAAGAGTCTACCTATATGCTATTGTGATGTCGCAGACTATAAAACATCGAACATACACAGAGTAATTGTTTGGTATACTGGAAGGAGGATAATAAAAGCATTTCCACTACTAAAGAAAATTAAATGTGAAAAAAAAAAAAAAAAAGAAAGAAAGAAAGACTGATGGCAGTTTGAGTGTAGTGTATTTGTTTTTCGTTTTCCTAACACACTGTGCCAAGTTTTATACTATTTCTGTTTCCAATTTTGCTTTGGTGAAGGTTTCTCGAATCTCAGCAATCCCACACATAAACATTTATCGTTATATCCATTAAGACTTAAGGTTTTAGATTTTCAACTATGAGGGAGAACTCAGCCAAAGATGCTTGAAAGATAAATACGTTTAATTAGGGGCAGAGGATGATCATTAAAGGAAGTCTGACTGCTGCAGAAGTCATTAACAATCTTAAATGAAATTTTTATTTTTATGATAGCCATTTACATGTATAATAAGAGCCAATGATTCTTGGGAGCAGTGTGACAGACACAGAGTGTGGCGAGAACTCATGTAAGACATACTATTTAAATGAGCTGGTGTTAGCTATTCATATTTGTTAATGAACTAGATATGCAGGGCTATAAGAATGAATGTTCTGATGCTTTAAATTTTAATATCTAGAAATCAAGGGTAAGGACCAATTACTAGAATTTCCACCCTTAAAGGAATAATTAATAATGATATAACAAATGTACAGCTCCAAACTTCTAAAAAAAAAAGTTTAATTTAAAAAAATTAAAATAAATCATTGAAAAGCAGCCAAAACCACAATGTCAAGCTGTACTAGTTTGTGATTGTGGCAGCTTTTTGGGTTGGTCATGGATCATAATTATAAGTGTTTTCATATACAATAATCCATAGGAATGCATTGCAGACGCTGTTATCACCTGTAGTTAATGGTGCCTGTGAGACAGATTAACAGGCTGCTCTTTGCTCTTACCTTTATGGTAAATAAACTAGCATTCTGGAGTCACAATAATTAAATAAAATGTAAATTCCTAATCTCATTTGGCTATTTGGACCAAGAAAGTTACCCAGCTATTACCTGTCTGGTTCTAATGATTAGTAATGATTTATTGTTCTTTTTTTTTTTATTGTTCTAAAAGTGCTCTGATGTGGTGCCTTGATGTCTAATGAAAAGAAATTGGTCTTAAAAAGCTACTCATTGTTTATCCTGACTCGTAGATAACACATTTTTCTTCTGATAAAATATTTTTCTTATTTATTGTTCAAAACATACAATATAGACAATAATTCTAATTCTGGTGCTGTTTTATTTAGTAGTGTTTTATCCCTGGTGCCTGACTGTCTACCACCATACCTCAGCACATAGCTTTACTCTGAGATAAGGCCCCTCTCCTTTGCTCTTTCTCCCATGCTTTCTGTAGTTTGTCTGCAGGATGCAGGTTTTGAACTGAAGAGCACAGTGGAGTTCTTACTGTGCCTTTCCGGTTCCAGCACAATCAAAGTTTTGTGTTTGGAATTGTCCTTGACATTCTTTCGTCCCACAATGGGGTGGACACAGTGTGCTGGAAACCATGACATCATTATCATTGACACAGACTTAAATAAATCACCTGCATCTTGGCCTCTTTCTGCTTATTCAAGGATTCTTCATCTCAAGGAAGAAAGTGCTCTTTATTTTTACAAACCTTCATCCCAAGGGTGGCTGGAAAACGCAAACTTTTACAAGTGTTTGAAAAATAAATACACTATGTGGTTTTTGACAGAGTATGCTGAGTCAGAGATGCCTTGGAAAATGTTTAAGGTTAGGAGTGAGGCAGAAAGACAGTCAGGACTGCCTTAATTCAAAGGAGATATTCCTAAATTACACATGTTTATGTCCTTCTGAATCTGAACTTACTTGAAGCTTAGTAAATAGGCATATACATAGGATTTCAAATACCTGAAAAGGCTTAATAAATTGAGCTTGATATAAGAGAGAAGAGGTTGATATTCAGTAAACTGAAGCAAAGTACATCCTAGGTAAAAGTGACACCATCTCATCTGACGTCTCTGAAAGATCCCAGCTATGCAGTCTTTGGTAAAAGAGGGTTATAGCTAATGGGATGCAATACAAAGTGCCAACTACTCATTGCATACTCAACATTTATTAACTTGGGAAGCAACCACCTACTGTAACTTCTCTTTACTTTTTCATAAGAAAATAACAATGAGGAAGGAAGTACAGCAGAAATCTTGAACATTACCACTATTATGCAAAAAAAATGCTGTTAACTGTTTTCCCCTCAGTGACTCGATGTGCTCTCAGATGGAAAACTTATGATTCTTGTGACTCTTGGCTACCAGAAATCACATGAGATGAGTGAGGAAGAAAGACACAAAAGCTATATTTATATCTAATACAGAACTTCTCAGAAATACCTTAATTTAATTCCTTGCAGAGTCTGATAAAAATATCAGATGAGGGAGGCTTTCAACCGATCAATTATTATAATCCACAATACTATATTACTATGTATTGAATGTCTAAATGTTTTATGCAAAATGTCCCTGTGAAAATGTTCCTTGAACAAGGCAGAAGTCCAGGGCTGGGAATGAAATCAAAGTTATTGTACAGTTTAAACAAATAGCATTCAAATTATCTGACTATTATGTGCAGTGGCATTAAATTAGCATCTACTTATACCTGTGTGTTTTAAGAGTGTCCATGACTTTTCCGCTCTGGTGCCCTGAACAGATATGCTGCAAGATACTGCTTGTAAAACCCCAAATTAAAAAATATAGATTTTAATTTAGCTGTAACATTTGCTAGAAACTGTTCTTCTATCAAATATGACTAGAATGTGATAAGCAAAGAATGCCAGGATAAATTTGGGAACTCACGGAGTCCTATTTATAATGTTTTTCTTGTTTTAAGTAAATTGATTGTCACTGAGATATTCATCCTGAATCCTATTTGGTTCTTATTAATATTGTTATTTAAAAAATATGATATTAAAAAGTACATGTTTCATTTACTTAATTGGAAGAATTTTAACTGTCAGCTGTCCTGCTCTGCATTCTCACATACTTTACAATTCGGTAGACGTTTAAGAGTTCCCTTATTTTTCAAACTCTCTCTAATTTTAAAATATTGCAATAATTGAAAACAACCTTTTATCATTTATTAATCTTCAGCTTCAAATGTTACATATTTTCATCTTCACTGGAACACCGAACTGTTGTTATATCTATATGTTTTTCCTCAGAAAATGACTATGATTATCTACTGGGGCATAAATGATAAAGAGGAACAGGTATTTATGGACTGGTAGAGAAAGGAATAAGGAAGGTATGATTTGGAAACACTGAACATTCATTTTCAGTACCTCTGGGATGCTTGTTATATAAACTGAGCATTCCAAATTCTGACATGTAGAATTAGGTTTAAAAAAAAAAAAAATGCTTGCATAGATTAGAACAATCCTAGCTACCCCAAAGGTGGCGGGGGAGAAGCATGAAAATAAAGAAATCCTGACTCGCAACTAAGCTCGCAGAGTTACCAGAGGCATACCAGCTAGCATGCCTCTTCATAAGTACAAATACTTAGTTGCTTTTGACTCTTACTGAAAAAATAATATCTTTCCCCCTGTTTGTCACTGGAACTTCCACCAGAAGAAAAGCCCTTCGTTTGCCCCAAATAAGCACCTCTGTTTTTCACAGCTTGCAGTAATGCTTAAAGTAAATAAGTTCTTGTGCAGCTAGCACTATTGGATTCATTCAATTGCCTGAACAAAGCTATTGTTTAGAGGTTTACAACAAGCCTTTTCTCTGTTTCCTTTAAAAGAATCTTCCTTGTTCCTGTGGTTGGCATGCTTAGTATATAGTAAGCTTTTCTACAATTTTCAAATGCTAAAGATAATTTTCCCCCACAGAAGAAATGAAGGAAGACTATGACACCATGGGGCCAGAAGCCACGATCCAGACCACAGTTAACAATGGTACAGGTAAGGTTATTACACTAAGATCATGTTTTTCCTCTGTCATGTGCATTTCATGAGTCAGAGAAAGAAACACTGCCCCATTCGTTTGTATCCCATGACTTAACAGTTAAGTCAGACTTCTGTTTCAAAACAGAATTCTCTACACTTTGATATTTTATTCAGCAAATATATCTTTCATTCATACATATACCCCCGATTTGTCTCTGAAGGTCAAGAATACTGAACTGTAAAAAAGAGATCCTTTCAGACATGGGTTGGGCAAACTTGTAGTAATCACTTTTAGTTTAAAGACTGCGTAAGTAATTTTTAAATTAGAGTATGATATTCCTTTCCTAGGCACCCTTGCTACCGGTTGTTGAGAATTCAAATGATATGGTGTAATTTATATTGTAAGATTTTTTTCTGAAAGCAAACCCAATCAATGAACGTTCCTCACACACACACACACACACACACACACAAAACTATCATCTTGGCTCCTTTTTATTCTCTCTTCACTTTTAATGTCTCCCATCTTTTAGCCCTGAAAAGTTACAGTGAGAAAGTAGTTATGTGGCATTTCCTTTTACTCTGCTACTGCTATAGAATGGAGTTTCAGGACAGTTGTGAGATTCCATATTCTTTCCCTGAAACGGAATGGCATCTTTTCACACATTCTTATGTCCCAGCTCAAACTTAGGGTGACTCACTATGTTTATCTCTCTTTTCCTGGATGAGACTAATTATTTTTGGTGTTTCAAACAGACCTCCACACTACCATTACAAATATTTGCATAACGCCCAGTATAAAATAGTCTTCCAAAACAAAACCAAAAAAATCACCTGACTATTTCCACTCAACTCACCAAGGGGAAAAAAGTTGCGGTTTTATGAAATTTTAGAACTGTAAATAATTAAGATGATATTCATATCTCCCTGATGTTGATACACATCATAATAAACTGCTCATGCTGTGCTTCTATTTAGAAAGCTCTTATAAATAACTTAAAAGGCACTAATTCATTTTCTTGGGGGTAAAATAAGAAGGAATAAGAAAAACTACTGTAATTTTTCTTTCATTTGAATAATGTCACTTAATTTAAGGTACAAAGATGAAACCATACATCATAGGGTTACAGAAAAGGTACAGATTTGGGAAACAACAATCCTAATATCTAGACAGCTCTGGCAACAACGAGGTTGTGACCTTGAGCGAGTCAGTTACCCTCTTTGGAACTCAGTTTCCATACCAAAATGAATGAATAAATTGAAAAATAAATAGATTGAATTAGTTGTTTGCTAAGAATATTTCTAGCTTTAATATTTTATGTTGCAGGGGTACTGTGACCATGTTCAAATAGACGTAATACCAAATAACCTTCCATAAAAGTATAATAATAAAAAAAAACCCATGAATTAGATAGTGTCTATAATGTCCCAGCTCGTAAGGTCAGAAATGGTTGCATGTTCCTTTTAAAAACAAATGCTAAATTTCAACTTCAAACAAATAAAAGCTGATTTTTATTACCTTTGTAAACATTTAAAGTGTCACAAAATTAAATTACCACACAAAGTGACAATTTACTAGCAGTAAAGTGAGCCTGAAGTGAAGTTAATAAGAATTGTTCCTATTCAGAATATTTGAAAATCAATTTTTAAGATCTCCCTTTCTCATACAACTTACTTTTCCTTACAGTTCATGTCTATTCAATCAGTCTATAAATCAATATGTATTCATTAACTGTCTTCTATGTAGTCACTATGTGTGTATGTGGAAGATGGACCAGGAAGACTAAGTGCAACAGTTAAGCACCCAGCTACTAACCAAAAGGTTGGCAGTTCGAACCCACTCAGTGGCTCCGCAGGAGAAAGACCTGGTCACTGTTTAATTTGGAAGATGAGACTAACATGCATGAAAAAATAATGAATAGTGAATGAAAATATGTAACAAATATGAAAAAAATAGCAGGAACCATAATGCTTGGGAATTACGAAGTGGGAGAGAACCTATGGAGTGGGTATTCAGATAAGGTTTTCTGAAGGAAGTTAGATTTAAACTGAGTAGATTTTCATTAGTCATAGAGAAATAAGGAAGGGCTTTCTAACAGAAAAGGAGTGTATGAGCCAAGGAAAGAAAGAGTGCTGCTATCTGTTCAAAGGATAGGGAGCAAAAGGATTTGGCCAAAGCGGAGGGTTCTACAAGTGTGTTCGTGGGAAATAAAACTGGACATTTAGTTAAGAGCTCGGGCTGCTAACCAAAAGATCAGCAGTTCGAATCCACCAGCCGCTCCTTGGAAATCTTATGGGGTAGTTCTACTCTGACCTATAGGGTTGCTATGAGTCAGAATTGATTGATGGCAATAGGTCTTTAACAGGTGGAAAATACAAAGCATCAAACAAAAGAGTTTGGGTGATTTTATACTACCATGATTTCTGTGGGAAGAACTAAATTCTAAGAGACCAACTGGAGGTCACTGTAGTTAGCAAGGTGTCAAATGACTAAAAGCTTGACCTAGGGTGGTGACAGTGGCAAAATTACCAACATGACTTCTTAATAACCAATTGATTCTCTGGGTAATAGAGTCAACATGGCTTCAAGATTATATACTGGTGTCTACAATATGGCCAATGAGCCCTGGTGGCACAATGGCTAAGCACTTGGCTACTAATCAAAAGGTTGGCAGTTCAAACCCACTCAGTGACTCCTAGGGAGACAGAACTGGCGATCTGCTCCCGTAAAGATTACAGCCTAGAAAATCCTATGGGACAGTTCTACTCTGTCACATGGGGTTGCTCTGAGTCAAAAATCAACCCCATGGCACACCACCACAACAACAGAATATGCAAGAAGGTCCCTAGGTGGCACAAATGGTTTGTGCTTGACTGCTAACTTAAAGGTTGGTGGTTCTAACCCACCCAGTGGTACTGTGGAAAAAGGCTTGACAATTTTTGTTAAAATTATAGTCAAGAAAAGGAGCCCTGGTGGCAGAGTGATTAAGAGCTTGGCTGCTAACCAAAAGGTCGGCAGTTCGAATCCACCAGCCGCTCCTTGGAAAGCCTATGGGGCAGTTCCACTCTGTCCTATAATGTCACTATGAGTCGAAATCGACTTGACAGCAACAGGTGTGGCTTTTTGTTTTTTGGTTTATAGTCAAGAAAACCCCACGGAACAGTTCTACTCTTTAACACATGGGGTCGCCATGAGTCAGAATCGACTCAATAGCAACTTAACAACAGAATATGGCAATACTTGCTACTTGTAGATATACAGAAGGATTCCATTTTGGCCTTTAGACATAAGGATTTTCATATAAGAGTTAGATAAATGGAATATCCATTGAAAATGAGGAATTGAAACCTGAGAAGCCAAGGCTGGAGATAGTTATTTGAGAGTCATGAAAATATATACAGATGCTATTTAACATCATGGGGCAATGAGATTTGCAATTGAGAAGGTATTTATTGAAACAAGTGGAAAGTTGAGGCCAGGGTTCCAGGTGGGTAGGGAGAAAAATCAAACTCACTGAAGGAAAGAAAATTCTAAGGAGAGAAAAAATAATTTAAACATCTTGAAGGCAAAGAAAGTTTCAAAAAGGAGAGAGTGGTCAACTCAATAAAAAGCTTCAAATAACTACAACCGTAGAAGAATGCTTAGCTAACACACTGGACTTGGCTATTAGCAATTTATTGGTGGCCCTTAGTTTATATAACTCTGCCCTTTTAGAGAATACATACCTCTTCCCAACCATAAGTTTGCTGCTTCTTACCCCAAGCTTTACCTCAAGCCAAGTAATTCCCTTCTCAGAATCCTTAATTGTCGCTTATTACCTAAGGGACAAAATCTACATTCCTCAGTCCAGTATTAAGTGCCATCCATTTTTGTCAGACTAAATCCCTTGATGATACCAAAAAATAATCCCATTCATTCTAACCTCTGAAATCTCTGCCCGTTATCCCTCAGACTGTAATCATGCACCTGCTCTCTTCCAATCCTCAGAGTTCTACCCACCCTTCTGTCCTTCCGGGCCAGCTCACATCCCATTTCCTTAATGTGGTCATTGTTGAACACCTCAGCCCACATCAATCTCATCTTTCCCTGAAATCCCACAGCCCTAAGGTTTACACCACTAATTTTAGCATGTTGACATTGTTCCTCTTTATATATTGTTATGTACCTGTTTCACCTAGTTAATTTCATGAGGACAAGAGACTGCTGCAGCTATAAAATGGAGTAGATTATCATGGTGTCTACCGCATAAAATTGCTGAGGTGATTAAATAAATAATGAACATACTGACCGTAGTAAAAACCAAACCAAACCTGTTGCTGTTGAGTCAATTCCGACTCATAGCGACCCTATAGGACACAGTAGGACTGCCCCATCTGGTTTCCAAGGAGCGGCTGGTGGATTCAAAGTGTGACCTTTTGGTTAGCAGCCGTAGCTTGCCATAGCTCTTAAGAAAGGAACTATTCCCTGTTTGCCTGAAGGTGCCGACTACAGCAGCAAACACACGTGGTAGAATTATGACTGGTAAAATGAATGAATAAATGAACGAATGAGTATTTGGTGGAGAACAAATGGACTCTGAGAAAAGAAACCATGATAGGGGAAACACTCCCTGTAAAGGAGACTCAGCCCAGTATCTACAGAGACTGCAACCATGATTTAAGTCTCTGAATTCACATTGTTAAAGGCAAAGAACAACAGCCTAGAGTGTCACTACTTTTTAATGTCAGGGTTAGATTAACAGTACAGCAAAGTTGATCTATAACAACATATATCATTGCAACCCCTAAGTTATCCGAACAACTTTCCACATTGTATAATTACACTGATTTTAATGTTTAAAAACAAGAAAGAAAATTGTACACTTTAGCTCATAAGATAAAGAATGCCTTTCTTATGAAGAATAACCCACATGTTCCAGATATTAATAGGATTCAAATTCAGAATGAAGTTATTATATAGGGTTTTTAAGAGTGTGTGAAAAAATTATTTTTCTAAGAATATTAGAGAAATGGAA